ACGAAAACTGTTCCCCAGACTCTACTTTCTAACCATTCTTGACATTTCCTCATGTCGAGGGACATGCCCGACTCAGGGCCGGATTGCCTCCTCCCCCCGGGCAGTCCCCCCTGTGATAGGGGCCTGTCCAGGGGGAGGAGGAGGAGGAGGAGGAGGAGGAGGAGGAGGAGAGGAGGAAGAGAGGAGGAGGAGAGGAGGAGGAGGAGGAGGAGAGGAGGAGGACGGAGGAGGAGGGGGAGGAGGAGGAGGAGGAGCGAGGGGAGGGTGAAGGAGGAAGGAGAGGAGGAGGAGAGGAGGGAGGAGGAGGAGGAGGAGGAGGAGGAGGAGAGGGAGGAGGAGGAGGTGGAGAGGAGGAGGAGGGAGGAGGAGCAGGAGGAGGGAGCAGCAGGAGGAGGAGGAGGAGTGAAGAAGAAGGGAAAAGGAGGGAGGATGCGGGAGGAGGAGGAGGGGGAGGAGGAGGAGGAGGAGGAGGAGGAGAGGAGGGAGGAGGAGGAGGAGGAAGGGGAGAAAGAGGAGGGCTGGATGCCTCAGGACCGTTCGCCTCCCCTCGCCGTCGGCCGGTCCTCGTGGCAGGCCGCGCCGCCGCCGGTCCCGCGGCGGGCCACGGCCGCCCAAGGGCGCGGGCCGCGAGGAGCGCGGGGCGGCCTGCCGCCATGACGAGGGCCCTTAGGAGGGCATCAGCTATGCACCTCCTCCTCCTCCTCCTCCTCCTCCTCCTTCGTCCTCCTCCTCATTCCTCCTCCAACTCAAACCTCTCCTCCTCTTCGTCCTCCTCCTCCTCCTCTCCTCTATCCTCTCCTCCTCCTCCTCCTCCTCTCCCTCCCTCCGCCTCCTCCTCCCCCTCTCCCCTCCTCCTCCTCCTCCTCCTCCTCCTCCTCCTCCTCCTCCTCCTCCTCCTCCCTCCCGCTCTCTACTTCCTCCTTGCTCCTCCTCCTACACCGAGCTTGGCCAGGATCGCCCTGGGCCTCTGCACGGCGTCCCGGGGGGAGGCGGAAGGCGGAGGCGGGGGAGGAGGAGGAGGAGGCGGAGGAGGAGGAGGAGGAAGAGAGGAGGAGGGGAGGAGGAGGAGGAGGAGGAGGAGGAGGAGGAAAGGGAGGAGGAGGAGGTGGAGGAGGAGGAGGAGGTGGTGGAGGGGAGGAGGAGGCGGGGGAGGAGGAGGGAGGAGGAGGAGGAAGGAGGAGGAGTAGGAGGAGGAGGAGGAGGAGGAGAGTGAGGAAGGTGGGTGGAGGAGGAGGAGGAGGAGGGAGGGAGGGAGGAGGAGGAGGAGGGAGGAGGAGGAGGAGGAGGAGGAGGAGGAGGGGGAGGAGGAGGAGGAGGAGGAGGAGGAGTGGAGAGGAGGAGGAGGGACGAGGAGGAGGAGGGAGGAGGAGGAGGACGAGGAGGAGAAGGAGGAGGAGGAGATGGAGGAGGAGGACGGGTCGCCAAAGCCCTTCGGAGAAACCTTTCACCTGAGCCCAGGATCGGTGTATACGCCCTCCTGCTCTGGGTCGAATGCACATGAACCGATCCTGGGCCCAGGGTGATCCTGGCCAGGGTCGGTGTTGGTGTATAGTTGGTGCCCTCTGAGCGCCGTGCCGCAGCGCCGCGGCGAGGGGCTGGCCGCAAGAGAGGGGCGCCCGAGGCGACGCTGGATCGGTCAGCGGCGGATGGGCCAGCTGGGCCAGCCCGGGGAAGGGGCGCCGGGCGTTGCTTGCTGGGGGGGGGCGATGAACGGGTGTGCGAAGAAACGTGTACCTTTTTATGTGCCGGAGGGAAACACTTGCGTAAACAGAAACTTGCGACGGTCCGCGCGGATTTCTCGGATCCTTGCTGACCCCTCTCCCTGGCGCGCGCAGCGCGCCAGGGGGCGGCGCCAGAGCCGCCGCGGGGGGGGCCCCCCGCGCATCCAAGAAATCTGCGCGGAGCGCCACAATTATATCGATGCTGTCTTGGCTTCTTCGAGCGAGGTGGGGCGCCCGAGCCGACGCAGAAGCTGTCGGCGGCGGATCGGGAATCGCCAGCAAGGCTCGAGCGTTCCGCCGGAAGTAGGGGAGCACTTTTGGTCTGCGGGGCGAGAGCGAACCTCTTCCGGTAAAAGCTAGGCGGGCTGCGCACAGCTTGAACTGGGGAGACAGGGCACAGGCGGGCGGGAAAAGAAGCAGGGAAACACACAACAACAAACATAAAAGCTCGGGTGTCAGCGCGGATTTCTGGGATCGGCGTTGGACCCCCATCATCGGCGCGCGGAGCGCGCCAGAGGCGGCGCCGGAGGCGCCGCCAGGGGCCTCCAGCGCCGATGCGACAAATCCGCGCGGACCTCCGAGTTTTGATGTTTGGGTCACTGTTCTCGTTCCCGTGGGAGTCTCGTTTTTCGCGCCGGAACCTCGTCTCGCCGAGGCTCGTTCCACCGAGGCCTCGCTTCGCCACAGAGCCTCGCCGTCGCCGGGGCCCGGTGCGCCCGGGGCTCGTCTTGCCGAGGCTAGTCTCGCCCGGGCTCGCTTCACGCGGGGCTCGCTTCGCCGGGGCCCGCGTCGCCGGGCACGCGAAGGGTCCAGAGGGGGAGGAGGGGGAAGAGGAGGAGGAGGAGGAGGAGGAGGAGGAGGAGGAGGAGGAGGAGGAGGAGGAGGAGGAGAATGGGAGGAGGGGAGGAGGAGGAGGAGGAGGAGGAGGAGGAGGAGGAGGAGGAGGAGGAGGAGGAGGAGAGCGGGCGGGTCGGGTCAGGCGAGCGGACCCTGACGGGCGGGTCGGGTCGGGCGGGCGGGACATACGACGCATCATCGAGCGAGCACGCGCGAGCCATGACGGGCGGGTCGGGTCGGGCGGGCGGACCCTGGCGGGCGGGTCGGGTCGGGCGGGCGGACCCGGGCGGGTCGGGTCGGGTCGGGGCGGGCAGAGCCCGCCGAACCACAAGACACGGGCGAGCCGAGCCTGGGCAAGTCGAGCCGGGCGATTCGAGCCCAAGGAGAATCGAACCCCGAAGGAATCGAGACTCGGGCGAACCGAGCCCCGGGCGAATCGAGCCCCGGGCGATTCGAGCCTGGGCGAATCGAGCCCCGGGTGAATCGAGACTCGGGCGACTCGAGCTGGGCGATTTGAGCTGGGGCGAACCGAGCCGAGCTGGGCGATTCGAGCTGAGGCGAATCGAGACTGGGGCGAATCGAGCCAGGCGAATCAAGCCGGGTGAATCGAGACTCGGGCGAATCGAGCAGGGCGAATCGAGCGCGGCGAATCCAGACTCGGCGAATCGAGTGGGGCGAATCGAGCGCGGCGAATCGAACCTGGCGAACCGAGACTCGCGATTCGAGCTGGGCGACGGGCTGGAGCGAATCGAGCCGGGCGATTCGAGCTGGAGCGAATCGAGACTGAGGCGAATCGAGCGGGGCGAATCGAACTGGGCGAATCGAACTGGACGAAGCGACCGTTGCGTTCCTCCTCAACCTCCTCAACCTCCTCCTCCTCCTCCTCCTCCTCCTCTCCATCTCCTCCTCCTGCTCCTCCTCCTCCTCCTCCACCTGATCCTCCTTCTCCTTCTGCTCCTCCTCCTTACACTAATGCCATTCACGTCACAGGGTCTGGGAAGGGTGAGCACCCCAAAGCCACACCTGCTCCAGGAAGATGATGGAGAACTCCACTGACACGCAAGTAAACCACGACAGAAGAGCCGCTGATAGACACTTGGAAGCCACGATAAACATCAGCCTCTTCCTCCTCCTCCTCCTCTTCCGTCTCCTCCTCCTCCTCCTCCCCCTCCCCCTCCCCCTCCCCCTCTTCCTCCTCCTCCTCCTGCTCCTCCTCCACAATTCCTTTTCCTTGCAGAAAAAAACTTCTCCCTGTCGCACCCCGAGGCTGGTTTTAGGGGCGGGCCGGGCGTTTCGCCTGAGATTTCCTCACCATTTATGACTCTGAAGCTTAAACATTGGCAACAGCTTCACATATGGAAGGCGGGTCATTTTCAAGATGTGGCTCTGGCCTTACCGCCGCGCACATTCGTTTTTTAATGCACATAGTTTCGTTGATTGAGGCCGGTGTTTTTAAACATGTGGCTCTCGCCTTAGCGCCGCTCACATTCGTTTTGAACATGTGAAGAGTTTCACGGATTGAGGGCGAGTGGTGCTCAAGATGTGGCTCTCGCGTTAGCGCCGCGCACGTTCTTTTTTAAAACTGTGCCAGAGATAAACGGATTGAGAGCGTTTCCCATTCAAAATATGGCTCTCGCCTTTAGCGCCGCACACATTCTCTTTGAACCTGTGCAAGACTTTCACGGATTGAGAGCGGTCCCTTTTCAAGATATGGCTCTCGCCAAATCGCCTCGCACATTCGTTTATAAACGATGCGAGAGTTTCACGGATTCCCATGATCAACGTACCAGAAATTTCGAAGGGTTCAGGATTACGCGGGCGCAGCAGTTACGCTGATTCGCGGCGTTGAAGTCCCAGGAATGGCGTTCTGGCACGATTAAGGACCGTCAACACGCAACAAGCAGGTGGATCCGTGACGTTGGAATCCAGAGAACAATGTTTATGCATGCTTCAACATCTTCACAAAAGTGTCTTCCAACAAGGCAATTCCCTCGATAGGAATGAACCGTTACAGGGGCCACTGAAGAAGGAGCTGAAGGGGGAGGGTCTATTCTAACGTCGCTGAGGACTTTTGGGTTTACACTGGTCCTCCTCCTCCTCCTCCTCCTCCTCCTCCTCCTCCTCATCCCTCCTCCCTCCTCCCTCCCTCCTCCTCTCCCCTCCTCCCTCCTCCCTCCTCCTCCTCCCTCCTCCTCCTCCTCCTCCTCCTCCTCCTCCTCCTCCTCCTCCTCCTCCTCCTCCTCCTCCTCCTCCCTCCTCCCTCCTCCTCCTCCTCCCTCCTCCCTCGAGGGGAAAGGGCGCACCTTCCGCGGCGGAGGCGGGTGGTGCCTGCCCCCCCTCGCCCTCCCTTTCCCCCCCCAGGCCGGCTCCCCCAAGGGGAGGCCCAGGGCGCCTGTTGCGGCTGCCCCTTCGCGCTCGTCCCCTGCCGCGTGGAGCCCAGCTTCAGCCTCGCGGAGTGTCGCGCCGTCGCTGGTCGTCGCTGGTCGTCGCTGGTCGTCGCTAGTCGTCGTCGTCGTCGTCGTCGTCGTCGTCGTCGTCGTCGTCGTCGTCGCTAGCCGTCGTCGTCGTCGTCGGCGTCTTTGCGTCGTCGCAGCGGAGGCCTGCCTGCGACGGGTGGCAACCCAGAGCAGAGGGGGGGAGGGGAGGGGGGGGGACTTGTCCTCCCTTCCCCCCCCCCTCTCCCCTTCCCGCCGTCCACATCTCCCCATCCTCCTCCCCATCCTTCTCCCCTTCTCGTCTAGGAGGGGGGGGGGGACTTTTCCCCCCGTCCCCCCCACCCTCCCCTTCCCGCCGTCCACATCCCCCCGTCCTCCTCCCCATTCTTCTCCCCTGCTCGTCTATCACCGCGTCCTCGAATCCTTGCTCCCGCAATCAGCAGATCCCGAGCCCAGAGGTGGGAAGGAATGGTGGAGAAGAAAGCGCACGCGGCAACAACGGCCAAATGGGCGTCCAACGAGCACGCCTTCGTGCGAACTGTGCTGGTCTCGAACCGCGCTGGCTTCTCCCTGGACGCCTCGGAAAACGCTCCGCTCTTGGAGCCACCTGTGAACTGCAAACGGTCAATACGACCGGGATCTGTCAATAGACCTGACCAATGGGGGCAGCCACCTTGCAGCACCTGGCCGAACGCTTGCTGCTCACTGGCATGCCAGAGCTCCAGAGCCCCCTGCTGCATTGGCTCACTTCTTTCGGTCAAAGGCAATACGTTGGGTTTGACCGCACGGGCCGTTCCGCATGGTTTAGGCGTAGCATTCCCCTGTGCGAACGTCTCTGCTTGGTTCCGAGAACTTCTGTTTCTGGGATGCTCGCGTTTTAGGAGAGCGCCAGAAGACAGAAAGACAATTCCCGAAGATGACTTGATCCTCAGCCTGTACACATTATCCCATCCATGCGTTGATGAATTCCGGGTCGCCTCGTCCTCATATTTGGCTAAAGCACAAATGCTGCCGCTGCCCGCCCCAACGACTCCGGTTTCTTCCTTTTCCCCTTGTCTCCCATCGGCATTGGACCGAAAAGGAAGGCTTGGTTCAACGGTAAAACATCGGCTTGGAATCGGCGCCCAATTGCACCCCGCTTCGGCGCCCTAATCCGCTCCCCGCTTGGGAAACAAGATGGCCGCATTTCCGCGCGAGTTTCTCGAGCCGGCGCTGGACACCCCCATCAGAGCATCCCTGGCGGCGCCTGGCGCGCTCCCGGCGCCAGATGGGTGCAAGCTGGTGGGGCTCCAGCACCAGCTTAGGAAGCTCGCGCGGGCCTCCGAAAAATTATGTTGTCGGGGTGGACGAAAAGGGGTGGTGGCAACCGGGCGACTGGCTGAAGGGCAGCGATGGGCGGGACCTGGCGCAGGGCGGCGCAGCGACTTGGAATCGCAGGTAGTTACATCGCCTGTTCATTGCTGCCTCACTGCAGACAAAGCAGGCGAGTTTCGGGAGCGGCCAAGAGGGGAGTGTCCAAGAGGGGGGGGTACAAATCATGACCGGCGGCATGTGCGCGGCCCAGCGGGGGGGCCAGGGACGTAATGAAATAAGAAGAGGCGCCATGAAATCTGGGGAGATATCATGGCCCCCGCCATGATATCCACCCCCCCCTAGTCATCACCCCCCTCTTTTCCGCCCCAGAAAGGAGGGGGAAGGCACCTGCTGGAATCTTGCCGGGGCTTTCCTCCTAGAACTGTGCTTGGCTGCTCGTCTGGGCTCCGAGGTGCTGCACGTCACGCGATCTTAACACTGGACCGCGCCGTCGCCGTCGCCGTCGTCGTCGTCGTCGTCGTCGTCGTCGTCGTCGTTGTCGTCTTCGCTGTTGTCGTCGCCGCCGCCCCCCTCGTCGCCTGTCACTGTCGCCCCGGTCACGCATGGATTCAATCACGCTCCCCGGGGAACAATTCGTACCAACGCTACCTGGCCCTCTGCACCCAAGGTCTGTGCGTGGCTCGCCGCGGAAACAAAAGACAGCCGCCTTGCCCTGTCGCCTCTGCAGGCACCGACATCGGAGTGGAACGCTCCCGCGGGCGGTGGCTGATTGGAAACGCGCGTGGGAAGTGCATCTCCAGGAAGGAATGCGTTCTGCAAACGCTGCGTGGCGCCCAGGAAGGGGGTAGGGGGAGAGGGGACAGCTTCTTAGAAGGAGGCTGCTTGTTAGCAGGCGCGGGCCTTCTTTATGGATGTAAGGTTCGCACCTTCTAAGAAGCAGGGGTGCATCTAAGAAGCCCTACCCCTCCCCCTACCCCCTCTGAGCGTGGCGGGGGAAATGCAAACGCGTCGCTGGCCGTCGCCGTCCGCCGTCGCCGACGCCGCCGCCGACCGTCGCCGCCGCCGTCCGCCCTCGCTGTCTGTCCGTCGCCGCTCGCCGTCCGTCCGTCGCCGCTCGTCGTCGCAAGCGCCGCTCCTGATGGGCTGATTTTCTGCAACCGCTACCATAGGGAGGAGGAGAAGGAGGAGGAGGAGGTGAGGAAGGGGCAGGAGGAGGAGGAGGAGGAGGAGGAGGAGGAGGAGGAGGAGGAGTGCCTCCCCATCGCACCTTCTCCCCCGTCCTACCCATGGTAGTGGTGGTGGAAAACAAGTGGCGCGCGTGCCATGGCTCTTGCACAGAAAGGAATGGGGACGAGGCGGAGGGGGCGCGCTGGCTGGTGGATGGGGTGATGGTGGGGGCACTCGGGATAGGGGGGGCGGTGCCGTGCCGAAATAAAGGGGTCGGGGCGGAGGGGGCGCTCTGGCTGGTGGGCGGGGGTGATGCAAAGGGGGGGGGCTCGGGATGGGGGGTGCCGTGCCGAAATGAAGGGGTCGGGGCGGAGGGGGGGGGCGCCGCGCCGAAACAAAGGGGTCTGGGAGGAGGGGGCGTGCTGGCTGGCGAGTGGGGGGTGCGGAGGGGTCGGGTCGGAGGGGGCGCGCTGGCTGGTGGGTGGGATGATGCGGAAGGCCTACAGTAAGGAATCAGGGCGGGGCGGTGCCGTGCCGAAATCAAGGGGTCGGGGCGGAGGTGGCGCTCTGGCTGGTGGGGGGATGCGGCGGGGGCACGCGGGATGGGAAGGGGCAGTGCCGTGCCGAAAGAAAGAGATCGGGGCGGAGGGGTCGCTGGCTGGTGGATGGGGTGATGGAGGTGGTGCTCTGGAGGGGGAAGGCGGTGGCGTGCCGAAATAAAGAGGGCGCGCGCAGGCTGGTGGGTGGGGTGGTGCGGAGGGGGCGTGCGGGATGGGGGGGGGGCGGTGCTGTGCCGAAATACAAAGGTCGGGGCGGAGGGTTCGAACTGCTGGCTGGTGGTGGGGGTGATGCGGAGGTGGAGCGCGGAATGGGGGGGGCGGTGCCCTGCCGGGATAAAAGAAAGTGGTCGGATCTCTAGACACCCTGTGCAAGAGAGCAAGCGCATCAGCTCCCCCTCCCCGGAGGATGGCCCTCGAGCCGTCGTAGACGTGGACGCGGTCGCGGCGTACGCCGCGGCAACGTCGGCGTTCTGGCGGCCGCTGGACGGTCGCTCCTCAGGGTCGCCGAGGGGGTCGCGGCGGTCCACTTCCCCGAGACGAGATCGGGATGAAGAGAAGTCGAGGTGGAGATGATTTCTGGCGGCGCGAAGCAAGGGGTAGGGGGAGAGGGGGAGGCTTCTTAGGAGGCGCGGGCCTTACATGTACATCCACAGACAAGGCCCGCGCCTTCTAATAAGCAACCTCCTCCTTCGAAGCCTTCCCCCTTCCGATATCCCCCTGCGCGCGTGGTCGAAATTTAGGAAGCAACTCCTGGGAGGTCTTCGTCACAACGATTAAGGGCTGGCGCGCCGGATTGAGGGGCCACTGAGCCCGATCTGGCCAGATTGAGGCCAGAATTTAGCAGGAATGAACGGAACTGAGCGGGAGCAAACCAGATAAAACGGGATTCAGCCAGATGAGGCCAGTTTTCGACTAGGGATCTACCAGCGCCGATTCAGAATCTAACCTCCCAGGAATTGTAGCCTGGGAAAATGAATCGGGACAGACGCGGAGGAAGAGGAGGCCGATTCAGACGAGCCACCACACGCAAACAACACGACGGGAAGCAGCGAAGACAACATACGAAGTCGGAAGCCGCACAGACCCTCTCATGGGTGGTCGGCGAAATGGCGCAAGTGTCTTGACTAGAGCTGGATCAAAACAATTGGTTGGGGGAACGGGGGCATGGCGCCCCCAACCCTCGACTTCGCGGGGTGTTCGAATAGGCAACAAAAATTAGGCGAAATACGGGGATATACGAAAAGGGCGTCCATCCTCGATAAGTGGTGTGTCCGAATAGCCCCTTCTTGGTGATCCCCTATAGTTCCCAACCATCCTGTGCTGTTGGGCCCTCGTTTTGAAGAGGCAGCACACCGCGTCTCCTTCCCTCCTTCTCCTCTCCCTCCTCCCTCCTCCCGTCTCTGCCTTTGCCTTCCGCATGTCAAGCAGTTCGGCACACCCCTTACACGGATCGTGGACACATGGCAAGCTCCACCGAAAGCCCCAATGTCGACTGTCGCACGCGTCCGCCCCACCGAGCACTGCGTTTCGTTGCCCCATAGGGAGCTCCACCGAAAGCCCAGGTGGCGACGTTCGCATGCGTCCGCCCCACCCAACAGAGCCCTTCGAGGACCCGCACGGAGCTCAGCCGAACGCCACTGTGGCGAAGTTCGCATGCGCCCGCCCCACCCAGTACAGCGCCTCGTGGCACTCTTGGGAGATCCACCCAAGGCCCCAGTCGCGACGCTCGCATGCGCCAGCCCCACCCAATACAGCGCTCCTTGGCACCATACGGAGCTCCGCGGAAGGCCACAATGGCGACGTTCGCATGCGTTCGCCCCACCCAGCCCACGGCGTTCGCATACATCCGCCCTACCAAGTACAGCATTCCGTGGCCCCATAGGGAGCTCCATCGAAGGCCCCAATGACGACGTTCGCATGCATCCGCCCCGCCCAGTACAGTGCTTCGCGGCCCCACAGGGAGCTCCACCGAAGGCCCAAATGGTGACGTTCGCATGCGTCCGCCCCGCCCAGTACAGCGCTTCGCGGCCCCATAGGGAGCTCCACCGAAGGCCCCAATGGTGACGTTGGCATTTTCCGCCCCCCAAGTTCAGCGTTTCGTGGACACATAGGGAGCTCCGCCAAAGGCCTCAGTGGCGACATTCGCATGCGTCCGCCGAAGGCCTCAGTGACGACGTTCGCATGCGTCTGCCCCATCCAGTACAGCGCTTGGTGGCCCCAGAAGGAGCTCCACCGAAGGCCCCAATGGCGACGGTCACATGCGACCACCCCACCCAGTACAGCGGTCCGTGGCCCCATAGGGAGCTCCACCGATGGCCCCAATGGCGGCGTTCGCATGCGCCCGCCCGGCTCATGTCGGCGCACCCCAGGCTATACGCTATACCGCGTGCGCCATTCGGAGTTTGCATGCCTCATCCTCGTCTTGCCCCCTTCGCGGTAAACGCAGCTGCATATGGTTGAGTCCTTCGTTCGGCTAATTTTGTAGTGGCCTGATTTTGGTGGAGGACCCAGGGATTGGGGGTGACAATTCGCCTGCGACGGGAATCTCTGACAGCTGGCGGGTCTGGAGGATGTATCGGGCGCCGCGGCGTTCCAGAGCGCCGTAGAACGCTCTGATGGCGCATGTGAACGCTCTGAGAGCCTGCCCCTTGGCAGCCGAAGAGCAGGCCAATCTTGCCCTTGTGTCGGCTGACTGCACGCGGTTTCGCACTGACGGTTTCGCAGGCTGACATGTTGCCCGCCACCGCCACCGTAGGGTGTCCGTGTCGTTTGTGGCGATGTCGCACCAATGTGAAGTGGATTCGCTCGCTCGCGTGCTCGCTCCTCCTGGCGGCACTCACGAGGGGTGGCGCGCAACACCGACCTTCGGACGAGATGGGAGGGCGCCTGGGGAAAAAAATGCCTTCTTGGAAAAACATGGGAGGTTTCCGGGGCTCTTTAGAAGGAGGAACAGCAGCATAAACATAAACTTTTAGCGCTCCGCGCGGATTTCTTGGATCTGCGCTGGGCCCCCCTCCCTGGCGCGCTGAGCGCGCCAGGGGCGGCACTGGAGGCGCCGCCAGGGAGGCTCAATGCGGATCCAAGAGATCCGCGCGGAACGCCAACAGTCTATGTTTACAACGTTTCTTGTCTGGTTCTCAGAGACCCGGGGGAGGGTTCCGAGAAGGCCCCGTCCTTCAAAGAGACCCTCCCGCCCTCGTGGGAGACCACACTCTTCGCGCCGTCCCCTCGTGCATACCTCCAGTCCTTCTCCTGAGCACTTCTTTCCGGTGTGCAGGACCTTGGGATGAATTCCGTATGGTAGAGAAACGGGTCTTATGCGAGATGGCACAGCGACCCTGCGCGGTGGCTCACGCGGGCCGTCGGCGCGGCACGCTGCACTGGAGACAGAAGCGCTTACCCGCGACCCTACGCGGGTAGCTTACGCGCGAATGTCGGCGCAGTCGACCCCGTTTTGTTTGGGCCGCTCATGTGGGTGTCTGCGCCTCGAAAGTCCGCCGACCCTGTCTGCGTGTGTGAGGGGCTTGTCTGTTCGAGTCGTCGTCTCCGTCAGTCGTCGTCTCCGTCGTCCCCTTTCCCTGCACCCTCCTCCTCAAGCTTGTCAGCGAGAGAAAGGTCGAGCAATGTCGTACTCGAGTCGAAGAAGCACCTTGATCCCTCCCCCTTGGGGGGGTGGGGTCCGAAACAAAAAACAAAAAACAACCCAAATTCCCAATGCCCCGTTCCAAATGCCCAAACACCATATACCAGACCTCAAACCCCAACGCCCAAACACCAAACCCCAAACACCGAACACCAAACCCCAAACTCCAAACACAAACCACGCCAAACCCCAAACTTCAAACACCAAACACCAAACCACAAACACCAAACAACAAACCCCAAACTCCAAACCCTCAAACAGCGACGATGACCGTGGGGATTACGATGATCAGGATCAGGAGGAGAAAGAGCAGGAAGATGAGCATAAGGGGAAGAGGACGAGGAGTATTGATGTGGACGAAGGTGATGATGAAGAGGAGGATTATCGATGAGCACGAGGGGGACGAGCGGGATGGGGAAGGTAACGATGAGAAGGTACGGGTGAGAACGAGGAGAACGAGGAGGAGCAACATGATGGGAGGAGGTGCGGGAGGATGACGATAAGAACGATGAGGATGATGAGGGAGCGGGGGAGGAGGGGGAAGAGAACGATGAGGATGAGGATGAGGAGCAGCAGCAGGAGGAGAAGATGAGGATGAGGCTTGGTGAGGAGGGGAGGCTAGAGGAAACTAGGGGGCAATAGGGAGGAGGAGGTGGAGGAGGAGGAGAGGAACTATTATAAATGATGAGGGTGATCACGATGATGACGTGGTGGGCATAAAGATGGGGAAGGTAAAGCGTGCCATGGCAATGGTGAGGCTGATGGTTGTCATGGTGATCGGGAGTCCTCGGGCACTCTTGGGCGCCAGTTGGGCCGTTTGGGGGCCACCTTGGGGGTCTCTCGCCCCGTCCTGGGGCTATCTGTTGGGCCACTTAGGCGCTGTTAGGGCCTGCTCTTACCCACGGAGCTTGGACGATCTGCGCCTCTTGGAACCCTCTTGGAGCCCTACTACTACTACGGCTACGACAGAAACTACTACTACTCGTACTACTACTACTACTACTACTACTACTACTACTACTACTACTACTACTTCTACTACGGCGGCGACTACTACTACTACTACTACTACTACTGCTACTACTACAACTACCAATACTACTGCTAATATTACTACTACGTCTACTACTACTACTACTACTACTACTACTACTACTACTACTACTAGTGCTACTACTACTACTACGACTACTACTACTATTACTACGGCTACTACGACTACTGCTGCTGCTACTACTACTAATGCTACTTCTACTTCTACTACGACCACTACTGTGACGACTCCTACTACTCCACTACTACTGCTGCTACCACTACAAATAGTAACAATAATAAAACGACTGCTGCTGCTACTACTACTACAACTACTACTACTACTACTACTACTACTGCTACTACTACTACTACTACTACTTCTACTACTACTACTACTACTACTACTACTACTACTACCACGACTACTGTTGCTACTACGACTACGACCACTAGACTACGACTACTACTACTCCTACTCCTCCTACTACTACTACTACTACTACTACTACTACTACGACTACGAGTACGACTATTGATACTGCTGCTGCTGTGGCTACGACTCTGGCGACTACTACTACTACTACTAATACTACTACTACTACTACTACCACCGGTTCTAGTGACACACATATACTACAACAGCATCGGTGGATACTGCTACGGCTACGACTGCCCCTGCTACCAGCAATAGTCAAAGTACGACGACGCCACCTACTACAACTACTGCTGCTACGGCGACTGCGACTGCTATTACTACTACGACTACTACCACTACTACCACGACGACGACGTCTATTACTACTACTACTGCTACTA